GATTATTTTTATGCTGCTTGAGATGCAGAAACTGACACATTCTGGTGACAAAGATTATCTAAACTTGATAAACTTGGCTCCTCAACTCTGGAATAACATTTAAGAACATCATTAGTCTTTAGATACTTTCCTCTCTTTATTTTTTAAATAACTTTTGAAGGAACTTGTAATTATTTTGCTGAGATCTTAACCACGAATGTCATTAATATGATCCAATCCAGCTTTATTCCTTAAAAGGTTTATATTTTAAGTCTTATTCTATTTGCATTTGTATGTAAAGTTGTTTTTATTCATGTTTGTGCACACTTTTATTAGTTTGTTGTTGATTTGTATTTATGACACCATCTTGACCAGAACACTGTCAAAGGGACCTTCTTAGGTTAAACAAACAAAAATAAATAAAAGCAGGTAAATTAATAGAAATAGTTTTCTTTAATCTTTATATGCTGAGGGCCACTAGCCAAATACAGTAATTCAATTAAGAATAAAAGACTCATTATTAGGCTTGCTGTTTGAATTTAATTTTTATTTCATTTAATTGTTTTTTGGTTTGTTTGCATTCTTTCTTTTTGCCTGTGTAACTTTTAATGACAAAAACTCAAGTTTATTTACATAAAGTTGCTTGAAAGATAAACTACTTGAAATCACTCAATGAAAGCCTTTAAAATTATTTTAGTATTTATATTTAGATATTGTAGGTTGCATTTCAATAATGTTTTTTTTTTTTTTTTTTGTATTTCACAGCTCAGCTGAAACGTTCCCGCTCCAGCCTATATAAACTTTCTGTCCTTAAGGGTGAGGTAGTAGATTGACTAGTTGTGGGGCTCATAGCCTCCTTTTGAGATAACTAAACAATCTACTGTCTTTCCTGCGGAAACAGGATGAACTTCTGCGACAATGAAGCCTTCAGGCAGAAGGAAAGCTTCATGGATTACGAGACACCATTAGACAATAAAGATGTTCTGAAAGGGGGACGTTGGGCCTTGCAAGGTGAGGTAGTATGTTGTATAGTTTGTGGGATGGAGCCAGTCCTGCTTAGGTGATAACTATACAGTCTATTACCTTCCTTGAGAGGTACAATGAGTGGCCCAAGAAATGAAGCAACCTCTCTGCCGCCATCATGTGGCCAAATCCTGTTACTACAGTAGAGTTCATTCAAACTGCTGTGAACATTTACGTTTGTGGAATATATATATATATATATATATATATATATATA